AAAAAATAGTTACATATAAACAATAAATAATATACAATAATATTTAGCTTTGTGCATATTCTTAAGACAATTCACTTTTTACCTTTAGTTTCAGGATTACTTTTAATAGATACAGTGTCATCTTCGACTGCATCCAAGTCCAGGGGAGGTAACTGAGTAGATTGTGGTGATTCCTATAAATTTGTACAATATTAAATTGGTATCCAACATTTAATTGTATATTTTAAAACTAATTGAAAATAAATTATCATACAAAATTATATTTTACTTAGTGGACATGCTTAATCAAAAATAAAATATAAAACTGGTCTGTGCACACAAGGGTTAGGATAACTTACCACCAACCCTTTGATAGTGGTTCCTGTTTTTTCTGTACTTCCTATCATGTGTAGACTACGTAAGCATGGAAATAAATATGTGAATATATTTTATTTATGTCAATGTAAATATAAATAAATACATACACAAATCAACTTAAAAGGAAAAGTATTTACAATTATGTAATAACATACACACGACAGTGCCAGACTTAAGCTAAGTACATAATATGYATAAAAATATATTTTTACCTCAGGTTCTTCATCTACAACTTCTTCTTCAACCACCTCTGCCTTATATTCAAGTAATAAATCTCGGATTGGTTTTGGATCTATATTTCCATTGACAAATGGGTGCTAAAGAAAAAGGTATAAATTATTAAAAAATTAAATATAAGTAATTTAATTAGTAACATTACTTTAAGAAGATCATCTGCAGTTGGCCTTTGAACTGGATCTTTWATAAGAGCATGTGCTACAAAGTCATTAAAATTTTTAGACCATTTAGATGGTTGCTCTAATTTAGGAGGATCAGATTTTTGTATTTTAAGTAAAACACGCATAGGAGACATTTCATGGTTTGGAGGTTCCATTTGTGCTAATTCTATAAGTGTTATTCCTAAAGACCAAATGTCTACTTTAAAATCATAAGGATTATCCCTAAAAGTTTCGCATAAAACTACTTCAGGAGCCATCCAATAAGGTGTTCCAATAAAAGTATCATGTTTCTGTAATGTTTGTTTATTCTTAGCAGAAACACCAAAATCAGCTATAAGATATGTTAAAATTAAATATTAATAAATTAATAAACATTGATAAATAACAATATTTAAAAACATACCTATCTTAACACCAGCACTAGTTGTTAAAAGTATATTTCCAGCTTTAAGATCGCGGTGTATAACTTTACATTTATGAAGAAATGCTAATCCTTCACACATATACTTGCAAACATAAGCTATTTGTTCCTCAATTAATGCACGATCCAGCTCCACCATAATTGAATCTAAAGCACCTCCATCACAATACTCAATCAGCATCTAATAAATATATTACAAATTAGATACAAACAGAAATAATAATTTATTGTTATGATTTACCCAAAGTTTAGAATTAACAAAAAATGCTTCATATAATTGAACAATATTTGAGTGTTTACATTCGGCTAAAATGTCAATTTCAATCATAAAATCAGCTAAATCATCTTCACCTTCTAAGATACACATTTTAGCAGCAGCCAATTGTCCAGTTTCTCGATGTTGAGCCTTGACAATACATAATAACACAACAAAAATACAACTTTTTTTACCATACCAATTTTTCATTTATAATTAAGCCAATTTTGCTTAATTAACCTAAAATGTTTATAAAATTATAGAATTTAGGAATATATATTTTTTTCAATAACCGATAACAAATTATAGTTAATTAGCATAAGACCAAACCTAATAAAGAATAAGTAAAAACTGAAGATCTAAAATTGAACTTAAGAAAAAAAGAAATAATTGTAATAGAAAAATATTTTATAATAATATTAAATAATAATTAATTATTTGAAGTGGAACTATAATCAAAAAAAAAGTTTTATTTTTCAGATAATTTAAATATAATTTGTATAATTTATTAACCATTTCATATTAGTAATTAACACTTTGTATATAATTATAAATATAAATATAATTTAATAAAATTACCTTATAGACTTTACCAAAAGCTCCATCACCGAGTTCACCAATCATTTCCCAAAAATCATCAACATCACAATCCATATGGATGTTGTTGAATACTTTCTTCTTTTTCGCTTCATTGTTACCTAAGTGAAGCACTTTCTTGAGGCCACTTAAAAACGACATTTTAATAATGCCTTTACACAATATCAGAATCAATCAGGATGATGTACTCGTAAGGATCGCATGACCCAACAGTTCTCAAATTTTGCATTGCCTATTAATGTGTCAAAAACAAAAATTTTGTAACATGATTATTTATATTGCATAAATAAAAAATAAAATACACTATATTAAATARATTAATCAAAATATAAGTATAAATTAACCAAGTCTGTATCGAATAATGTGATAAATTTATCAAATTATTTTCATTCTAAATGTTAAACAAAAATACTGTTTATTATTTAATAAATAATACAATTAAAACTATTAAGCTCAGGAAAGTTCAAGGCCATAAAGCAAATTGTATTAACCTGTTTTATTTATCTGTTTAAACATAGATTGTAGTATAAGAAAGTTAAGTTTAAGATTGATTTGATAATAATTAAATATAAATCCATACATGTTATCTTTGATACAAATGTTTATCCAACACAATATGCTTGAATCTCGGGTTGAATATTTGTTTTTGTTCAATTTAGTATAAGGACCACCTTAGTTTTTCATATAAATTTGAAATTCAGCTACTGAGTTTTAAATATTTTAATAATTTTTATTWTCTAGATGTATGCCTCTATATCATTTATAACAATTTTTAACAATTTGTTTTATTTTATTTTTTTTTTTTTTTTTAATATTTCAATAGGTATAAAATAACTGTTTCTTTAATATGACAATAATATTGTATATGAAGTAGATAATCAAATATTATTTATATGTCAGATATTTAGGTTATGTTTTAATATATTTATTTAAYATGCCTACATAGACATTTTAATAAACAACAATTGATATAAGTATGTAGCAGTATCATTATAAATTACTTTTAACATAATAATTAGATTAGGGAAATTATTGTTTGTACATAATATCTTAGATTTAAGTAGGTATTGTTGAAGTAATAATAATAACTAGTAAAGCAGCTAGTGAAATACATTATACAGAAAACTAAATATCATACATAAGAACAAAATTGATTATCAAGGTCTAAAGTAGCTTACCTATCATAAATTCTTAAAAAATATGTTTATACATATATCACTTACCTACAAACATAAACCAGAGATAGATAGRTAGAATACTTAACGATATACACTTTGAATAAAATATGCAAGTATTACATATAATTTAAATAAAATAACCTAAGTAATAAAAGTGAGAGCAATAATGAAAGATTCAGGAACCAACAATAAAATAAATATCAATAATTAACTGATAGTCAAAATCAAAGGYGCAAATATAGGAGGTTAGCCCCCCCAAAAATCTTATAATTTTTGAACATAATACATTGGAACTTGTCCGTGTGTAGTTTTTGCTGACCCAAGTTACAGCCCCCTCCCCTCAAATTTCAAACACTATTTACACCTATGGTCATAATGTCATATTAATCAGAAGAAATTGAATAATATGTATAGGTTTAATTAAAAACAAAATATCATGAATAACCACTACATAACTTATATAATGCTTGTTTGTCTTTACTCTTTACACATGGTGATAGAAACTGAATTGGTGAGAAAAGATACCTGGYTATATCCTTATTCACACACAACAAAGTAAATACATTCAACATAAAGTTTAACTWGCAAGTAGAACATACCATATTAAGTACTGAACAATACAGAAATAGAAATTTCTCACCTGCAACTGGAAGGTAAAGAAAAAAAAATTTTAAAAATGTTTACGACACACTCAATTAATGATCGGCACACATTCAATTATTCACTAATACATAAATCACTCAAATAAGAAACAAACACGACGCGAGTATTAGGTACACAAAAAAACAAACCACTACAAAAATGAGTAATGACTAATGACACATATCTTCTTATCTCTGTTGGATTTACATTGGTCGTAATTAATATTATTATTATTAGGTACAATGACGATGTACGTAATAAGTACCTAGGTGGTTTATCGCACCTGTTTATTGGAAACGTAGATAACGTCGTTTTCGAATGATTATTATTAAAAAATTAAAATATACGAAAATTGGTATTGTTATTTATTGCTATAGACATTATGATTATGATTGTATCTAATGTGATGAAGCATTGATCGACGAAAGTACTCGTCGGAATACCGCAGCGAAAATAATAATCGAAGGAAAAATCAAAAGATGTGAAAAAAAATATCACAAAAACGCGACTATATATAATATTAAATATTTTGCCCTCACCACGCCTGGACGACGGTGCCTGTGAAAAATGACGTCAACAAGGTGAACGCGGCTTTCTGTGGGATGAGATTTCAGCAGTACCGGACGTCCTTGACCATGTTTTATTGGAAATCTTCGTTCGAGATTTGTGGCGGCCCCATCGACATTTTTTCTATTCCGCCCAGACGCGCGACGACGACGGATCGTCGCAGTGATGTGCGTGTGGGTCGGTATTCGGCCTCCGGGCACGGTTGTCTGGCCCGAATGCCGAGCGGAGCGTCCGGAAAACTAGGACTTGGGAACTTTTAAGGGGATTATCAAGCGGCCCCACTCGTCAAAGGACTTGCAGGCAACGTGTTACATGCGACGGAAGTCACGGAGGACATATCGTCGGACCAGATACATGAGTGGTGTTGACGGTACGCACGACGTGTTTAAAGACTATAGTAAACGCTTGTAAAGCGGCGAGTGGCGGGTCTCGACTGTTGCGGAAAAACGAAAACCGAAAAACACGACTTTTAGAGGAAAAAATAATGAATTATTATTAAAAAACAATAATAATAATAATAATAATAATAATAATAATAATAATAATGATATTTAATAGACGTCTAGCAGAGAGCAGTGTGGCCAAGTGATGGGAACATGCGACTACAGTCGCGTGTTGATCTCGCACTGCGTCTTTGCGAACACGATAATATCCGTTCATACCTTCCGTTTCCTGAACGTACTATATACGTGAAGTCGTGAAGAAACAAAACATTAAAATAAAAACCGTTAAAATTGTATAGATATTAAATTAATAACATTTTTAATTATATAGTTCATTAAAGCAAATGTTCAAGTGTATGAAAGTACGTTTTTTCAAAAATTAAATAATATTAATATTATTCTATTCGTTTACTTGTGTGGCTGTGTGTAGCTTTTTTGTGTCAATTCGATACTACATTAAATCGTTATTTACCATTCGGAAATAAATAATGATTAATAAATAAAATGAATACAACAAACGACAYTAAGTCCATTCAAAGTTTTAGATTTCCTGGTCTTTAWAACTTATTTGTGTTTGCATCGTCGATTAACTGTGTATTCATATCTCATATTCTACTGTTTAGATTAAGAAAAATACATATTCTGCAAATGTGTTTATAATCTCACATCACTTTTTTTAATACCTATCCAATAATTAAATCAAAATGGCAATGGAATTGTTGGACATGAATGAAGATTGGAAACTGGCTAATAAACTAAGAATTGAAGATTCTGAACAATTTTACACTTTGGTTCGAATGCATTTGTCATTTATACTGGAATCCAACATTAAAGAGTGAGTTAAAATTTGAATATTCCAATTGTACATTTGTTCTTTTACTTTTTAATGTTCAGAGGGGATTGTTCAGTTGAAGAAAAATCAAAAATTAAACCTATTAAATGGTCTTTTATGAAAAAAGATAAATGTTCTGTGAAAGGTGTAATGGATGGAGCACCAATCACTCAAGAAGGAATTTGTCAAGTATATCAACTTATTGATTTCTTGTCCAAAGAAGAAAGTATGTACCTATTTTTTGTGTTATTGAATTGTACACATTCTTACTGAAATATTAGGTACATAGTAATTCATCCTAAAATAAATATTTTAGATATCATGCAAGAAGGTATCTTTCGTAGAAATGGTTCAATCACTCGACAACAAGAACTGAAATCACTTTTAAACCAAGGACAAACTTTAGATTTATACAACGGACAGTTTACTGTGCATGATTGTGCAACTGTTTTAAAATCGTTTTTAGCTGAACAACCTGAGCCAATAATGACAGAAGCATTTTACCCAGCATATTGTCAAATATCAGGTATCTCTAAATCAAACACTTAACAACATCAAACATTTATCATGATTTTATTCTAGAATTCTGTCAAAAAATGGAGATTAACAATAATAGTCAACGTTTACTGAGAGCGTTACAACTTTTRCTGTTGTTATTGCCATTTGATAATTTAGTATTACTAAAAGATATCATAAAATTACTTCACTTTACTGCTAAACATTCAGACAAGAACAGAATGCCGCCAGACAATTTAGCAACATTATTTACTGGTCACTTAATTGTTCCAAGAAAGGTATATAGAAAGCCATTTCATCTTATAATTTTATATACATCTGCATATCTACATTTTTAAAATGTGTAAATTAATTGATTTAAAACTTATTTGTATAATGTATTTACATAATATATAGTTACCAGCAGAAGAACTTTATCAAATAACTCAAAATCTATCACACATTGTCATTTATATGATTAAATTAGGATTTGATTTATTCAAAATCCCACCAAATTTATCAGTTGATATTAGAGCTTATTGGTCCAAAAAAACCTTGAAACCTGTTAAGGTATAACATTGTTTTATTTATTTACTATATTTCGTATAAATAAATATAAACAATTATACAATACATCAATAGGAGGAAGGTACAGTTGCTACTACAGTGTTTTCATTCACTGACCGTACAACTACCACCAAAGAAAATGAAGAAAACCCAACAGTTAAAGCATTGGCTGAATTATATGCTCATGTACATAATCTACCAGAATCTGCAGAAAAGCGTAGAATGTTTATTAAACGTGTTAGCAATCACAATTCTGTTATTACACCRAATAGAAGTCTTACAAATTCTATCAAAGTATATAGTTTTATTGTTATACTAGGATATTTTATAATGTGCAATTATAATGYTTTTTTTTTATTTTAGAAACACATTTTTAAAAAAGGATCAAAGTTTAAACAAGGTTCAGTGAAATCTGAAGAACGGCAGCAATTAAAAGTAATAAATCACATATTTTTATTTTGTAGTAAAAATTATTATTTAACATTTATTCTCTTAACATAATCAGTAATAACTAACAAAATATATTTTTTTGTTATCAACTTTTAAATCAAAAAAATAAAGCTGACTTGGTATCTCTATGAACTATTTTTAAATTAAATTATAATAAGTGTTAATTTATTAGAACATATTAAGAGGAYGTGATACCCGCATGTGTTGACTCCATCTTACAAGTGCATARCAAATGTTATGCTCAGCAGATTATGTTTAGCTCCGTTAGTTTAATATTTAGAGTTAATCGACGTCTCATAGAAATTATATATACCATTATTATCTAGGACATATCATATGCTTTTTATTATACTTAATTTTAAAGTGAGTTATGAGAATTTTAAAAATACATACAATTTACAATTTTACAACACTCATAACTTGATTTAAAATATAATAAAAAGCCTTAGATAATAATGTAACCTTTAATTTTTTTAAAGAAGTTGATTAACTCTATATTTTAAACTAAAGGAGGTAAATATCTGCTGAGCATAAAATTTGCTATGTTACGCACTTGTAAAAYGGAGACAACTCATGTGGGACGCGGGTATCATATCCTCTTAAACAATAGCTGAAAGAAAAAAGATAATTCTTGAACAAAAGTATTCAGTAATTATGACCTAAATCTAAATTATTTTTAAGCAACCAAAATAATTTATTTTAAATTCAAAACAATGCCATTACGACTAAGTACAACAATATTAATACAAACAATTATAAGAATACATATCCCAACATATATAAACGGTAATAACACTATTAAGTATTGACTAGTATTACATATAATTTGATAAATCTCACCATACTAATGTACATTAAATGAAGAATGTTACCATATATCATTTTATTTTACATTTAATTTAAAAATTAGTTGAGTTAAATTATTTGAAATTATAATTGTTTATAAAATGTATTCACTTCTTAATATAAAACTTAGTTGTTGAATTTTATTTTTGTATATTCTAACTTGAGGTATATTTATTAAAAATGATGGAAATTTACGTCATTCCTCTACAAAATTGAATGACAATGATTTCCATCTATCTTCCTAGACGAAAGGTCAAACATAATTTATTAAATACATTATTCACTGGGAGGTATTTATACTCTATGTTTCCTGATTGTATTACTATTATRTTATCATTTAAGCTAAATATTCTAACGAATCWMCTATTAAAAAATTAAGTTTAGAAAAAAAATCTTTCAGTTATTAAATTGAATAATTATAATAAACAACTTTAAAGTAAAACATAATATTTGGGTAATTAATTTAAAAAAATKATTGATGTTAATGGTGCTTTGTTTTGTGCTATTTTTATTCCTTCAAATTGCATGATAATACTAATCTTTGCATGTTGTGTCCATTGGTATGTGCTCAGCTTGCAGAAGAAAAATCCAAATCATCTACAACTACTTCAGATAAAGAGAATAAAGATGATTCATTTAAAATTAAGAAGAAAGGTGCAAAAAAATTACCAATTAAAGAAATTAAGTACTCAAAGATTGAAGACCATTGTTCACCCAAACTCRATCTTGATACACCAGTGGATTGTTTTTCTACACCTAATGTTGTTAAACGTATTAAACGTTGTACTAGTACTCCATCTGCTGTTACCCCACAGCAGCAACACCCTAATGATGATATGTCTCCAATTACGCAGTCAGCACAGAAAATGACCAAATCTATGCAGGTACTCAAGATGAGTTTTTTTTTATGCACAAAGACCAATGTATGCTTTTTAAAATTAGCTGCTACTAATTTATGTTAATTTATATTTATTCATATTGTATAAATCAATTTACACTTATTACACCAAACTTTTTTCAGGAAACCATGATGACTCCAAGAAGTCGAAAACCAGTAGTAGCATTATCAAACTCAAATATTCATAAAATGAAACCTTGTAACAGTGATTCAAGTATTTCAAATTTGCCAAGCCGACAGAGTCTAAACTCTGTATCATCTAATCCTTACTATTTAATGACTTCTGGAGATTCACTATCCAGTTCTTTTCGAGATTATTTATTCAGTCAAAGTGTTCTGACTGCTAGTCCAGTAGATCTCAGTTTTGGTGATACCAGCTCATCATCCACACAATCATTACTTTCTGATTTGGAAGATGACCAATTGCAATTTTCTAAATGTACCTCGTCAACAGAAAGTTTACCAAAAAGAAAACGTTTAACTAGTGAAAACTTTAACGAAACATTGCTGTGAGATAATTGTATAAATATTATGTTAAATTGTTTTTATTTATATATAATTAGAAAATGTATATTTTCTTCATTTTTGTGTCTTCCATGTATATAATTAAAAAAGATTCTTTCAAAAACCAAAACAAAGTGTTTTAATGAACTACTATCTATCCTAAAAGTGTGTATTCTATATGATGTCTGATTATTGTGTATGATGTATTGATTTATCAATAATTTGAAATAAAAAATTATGGTTATAGTATATTTCAAATATTTAAGTTTCTAAAGCATAAAATATTATATATTTGTAAACATATCATGTGATTCATTATTATTTATACTCTTGTAGTATGTTATTAAAGTACACATTTTTCATTTATGTTGACTCATCAATTTTGAGTTACATTTCTATTATAGTAAAAAAATGTAAATTTACAAATATATAAGCATTATAACTATGAAGTAATTATTAATTTAAACTATTT